ATAAATACACACTTAATCCTCTTAATGGTTTAACGCGACAATACAATGGAGTCTTATGTTACTTGTAAATGTTTGCTAACAAAAAACTTGAAGTTTTATCAACTTATAATGAACAAGCATGTTTAAGATGTTAATATGCAGTGAATGTGTTTGTCCAATTTCTGTTTGGAATTAAAATATTGTTTGCTGTTGGTCTTTAATTCTTAAACATATAACTAAGATTTTAACTTGGATTGAAAAATGATGCACCACCAAAATGAAGCTGAGCCTTACTGTCCAAATTTCAAGATTCTCATTAAATTTCATTGATTTATTTGTTAATTTCATTAACTTTTTTATACATATAATTAACCTCACAATAACATATAATCGGGGATACATGTTCTCTAGAATTCATATTTTGCATTTTGTTTTACTGACTATTGTAAAAGTTCATCAGTACTTGAATACAAAAATGCCATTTAACATTTAAACACCAGAGGGTAATGTAGTCCTTTTCTGTCGAAGACTAGAAAATGATGCATTTTTTGCTCTCTGGTTAGTAACATAAACTGTAAACATTTATCTGCGCTTCTTTCTGTAACTTTTCAAGCTCTAGTTCTGTTTAATGCTGCTCTGTAGCGTCATCAATTATTCTCTGACTCCATGATAACGATCTTTTTGCACACGCGTCCTCAGTGTCACGTGCGGATTGAGTTTTGTCCCGCTACAAAAAGCACATTAAGAGGACAAACCCCAACATTAGAGAGAGATGAATGAAGGATAAGTAGAAGCCTCACCATGCATCTCAGCAGGAAGGCTAAGGATGTCACACTGAGAAACAGTGAAACAGGAAGAAATGTCTTAGCATAAACATAAACACTAGAATATGAACACGGGCTGCATCCAAATGGCGTGGTATAAAAAAATGGTTCAGATGTTAAATTAAAAAAATCTAATATTTTCATCTCTGTTAGGATTTTTCCCCCTTTTTTCTTTCTTTTTTTTTACGTTACATCCACAAAGTTTATTTTATTGGGATTTATAAAATAGACCAACACAAAATAGTGTAAATCATAGGAGAATGATACAGAGTTAACATTGTTCTTTTTGCTTTTTTAATTTTTTTCTATAAAATCAAATAAGTGTGAGAAATCCTTTAATCTCCCATGGCAACCATGTGCAAGCCTCCTTGGAGGATCTAGCAATGCCTTAGAG